AACTCTCCATCAACTCGCTTGTTCTTGCTATCATCACGCTGGGGAGGGCGGAACTTGCAGAAAGAAAAAAGAAAAGAAAAGAAAAGAAGAGAAAACAAAACAAAACAAAACGTAGGCTCAAAGTAAAAGGGGAAGAAGAGAATTTAATGGTGGTTTAGAGCCTCCGAGGTGTGGGCTGAGAATAGAGCTGACCCAAGGAAAGAGGAAAAGGAGAAAAGAAAAGAAAAGAAAAGAAAGGAGGGAATTAAGAGGAAAGAAAAAGGAGATGCGCTGGAATTAAAAAATAGAAATTTAATTTCCTCTTTTGTTTAGACTTGGATTTTAGGCTAATTGGGTTTGTTTTCATTTTCTTTTCTCTTCTTTCATTTATGCCCCTATCCTTTTCTTATTTAATTTTCACTTGTTTTTCCTCAATTTCTATCATTTTTCATTTATACCCTTGGGCTCCCTTTTTCTTTCTTTGGTTTTTTTTTTTTTTTAATTTTATTTTATTTTCTTCTCTTTTTTAATGAATATAAATTAAAAATTAAAAAATAAGCAACAAAAATTGCATAAAAAATTAAGGGCAAAATTCTTTTTTAGAATTGTCATTGAATTTGAATTATACCCAAATAAAATTAAAAGATGATAATAAAATTAAAAGCTTCGTCAATTATTCTATAAATTATAACTCATTCAATCTGGAACCGGTTCATTGTGGAAAAACAATAAATTCATTACTGAAAAAAAATTTATATAGCGAAACAAGCGCTTGTGACAAAAAACCCAGAAAAACAATAAAGAAAAAGTTACAGAGCGGGCGGGAAACAAAATCAATCAGCTTTCTTATCTGATTCCTGAGGCTTGGCACCACGTCTATCCTCCGCCATCTTGGAGTCAACTTCATTGTTTTCCATGAAATACCTCTCGAAAGCTCGAGGAAGAAATCGAGGAATCAAGAAGCATAATAGATTGATGGAGAAATACACAATGTTTGCAACCGCCAGACTCCTCCCAAACCAAAACCACGCAGTGTCCTGCACCCACCACATATACATGTATACAGTTTAATCTGAAACAACGGGTAAGTAAATTAGTCAACTATAAATTACTACCTGAATGGATGCATTTGCGGGCAACGCTTTGTTAACCCACACATCTCGGATCCAATCAATAATCACGAACACCCTTCTAACAGTGTAAAGAAGAGGCACTAAGGCTCTCACCGGCTGCGAGAACAGGGACAACCCGCTTATAACATTCTCTGTTAGAATCTGGAAAGAGAGTAAGAACAAATGGGGTGTTGCTGATCGGACTGCGTGATCATCGCCTCTCGCAAAACCACCCAGCACGTATGCAAGCGGCAAGAACAAGCCGATTGAGGTGCCCAAGATCACGTAAAATCGAAACAGTTTGGAACCTTGCAGAATCTCGCGGTGGGCTGAGGGTCGTCGGGAAGGGAAGACGAAGCGCGAGAGGGTTAAAAAGTAGGCGGTTGCAAACGCAGGGAAAAGTAAATCGAGAAGCGAGACGAGACCGCTTGCTGAGAAAACGATTATGAAAGCTACGAGTTGGAGTTCTATGAGACGGAGAGATCCCATTACTCCCCCATTTGGGGTTTGTTGTGAGCGCTGCGTGAGGGGTTGCTCCGCTGTGCCGGGCTCGGTGCGTGGAGCCATAGCCAGAGTTACACCTGACATGTCTCTGTTTCAGATTCAGATTCAGCTTCGGGTTCAATGATGAATTAGATTTTCTGGTACACCCAGAAAAGATAAGGTGGAAGAAGACGAAAATGGAGGATCCAAAGGATTGCAACACGGGAGAGAGAGAGAGAGAACACCGACTGTAAAGGACGGTCTGTCAAGATGCAGTGAAGACGTGGTAGAGTTGAAACGATGACACGTTTGTAAACCTCCACGAGACATTCTCTGTGTCTTACACGTCCCTAATGTATTCTCTACGTTCAACAGCAATAGCCTATTTATTGTTCCTGAATGATAACAAAAACTTCTTATATATATATATATATATATATATATATATTATTTTTGTGGAATCACATGCTATTTTTTTTCATTATTTTATGCTTTTTAGTTTTAGAAATATACAGTCTTACTAGTTAAATACCATTTATACTGGAGAATTTGACATAATATAGGGAATTAGATAAATAATTATTTTTAGTTGCATAAATTTTTAGATTAGATGTTATGTAATGTATGATATGTAAAAAAATATTTTAATTTTTAATTATTATTTGATTTTTACACATCAGGTAAACTAATAAACGTACTTTCTGAAAATAAAGGAGCAAAAAAAAAATAAATAAATAATCCATCATATAATATTAATATTATTAATTGAAATAAATTAAAAAAAAAATATTTTTGACACATAATTTTCGAATAAAAAATATAAGTATCCATTTCAAGAAAAACCGAGAACGTAATAGTGAAAAAGGTTGTTAATAATGCATTTGGTTTTTAACATTTAAAAGAATAATAAATTAGTAACATTGAGAAGTGGTGTTTGGTATAATTTCATCAATTTGATATTACATACGTGTTTATATGTTTTATTATTTTATTTAATTTGATTGAATTTTTTAGTAACTTTTTATTTGTAAAATTATCTATTTTATGGGTAAGATTTGTTAATAGAGAGGATTGTAATCTCATTGATTTCACAATAAAATCAAATTAATTATACATATAGTAGATATGTGTGTGTGTGTTTCAGTTAAAGTTAGTAGAATATAGAATCATAAACAACTAAAACAGGAACAAAGAAGAAGGTGAAAATGATTCTTTTGGATAGGTTAGCAATTAATTAAATTTACGTTAGTAATTAAAATTTGGGTTATATTACTATGAATTGAAGATTGTTTGTGTATAAGAATTTATTAGAAACTATTATTATTTAATAGGTGATGAGTATTTAAACACCACCATCTTCAAAAACTCAAAAACCCAGTTGAGCCAAAGTTCCAAAAACAATGGGGAAGGTATTTGAGTTCTAATCATATTATTATATATATGTGTTACTATTTGGTTTTATTTTATTCAATTTTTTATTGTATTTTTTACACTATTCTCATTTTTATGTTATAAAATTATACATGATCGAAAAGAACGAAGGGTGTGCCAATGAGGAGATAGTTCTCAAAGTTTACATCCATTGCCCAGGGTGTGCCAAGAAAATTTGTAATTGCTTGAAGGGTGTTGAAGGTAATACAATTTCATTTATTTTTATTACGTTTTTTTTTTAAAAAAAATATATATATATTTGAAATAATAAGAAAATATAAATAATATGTAATATATAATATTTTTGTAATTAATAAATAGGGGTGGAAGAGGTTAAACCAGATATGGACAACCACAAAATCATTGTGGTGGGAAAAAAAGCTGATCCCATCAAAATTTTGCAAATAATTCAAAACAAATACAGCCAAAATGCCCAACTTATTTCACCAAAACCTAAACCTAAACCAAACCCAAATCCAAAACCCTCCAACGACAACAAGAGCCAAAATCAAGTGAAGTCAATTGTGCTTAGAATGTACATGCACTGTGAAGCTTGTGGAAGAGATATTAAGAAATTTATAGAGAGAATGACTGGTAAAATTTTTCTTCATTTATATATGAATAGCAAAATTTATTTAATGAAAATAAGTAAAACAATTAATTAACAATTATCAATGTA